GTGCTGCCAGTGTTGCATGCGCTGTGCACAGAGACAGGATGATAATGCTTAATGCTACTGTAAGATATATGAAAGCTGATTCCAGCAATTGCACTATTTCAGAATATAAGCAATTTCAGTCTCAAACTCTGGCAGAAATACAGTGCATGCAACATTTCATCATCTTATTTCAAATTAACTGTAACATGATTATGTTTGTATTTTCACAGATAAAGCTGAACAAACTAAGGGACACTAGGTTTTAAATCATCCATATGTAGGGTTTATTAAACTATTTTTAAAAGAAACAATGTAAACAGAACATTTTTCCACTACAAAGTTTCTTTATTTGGTGCTCATTACAACACTTCTGCATAAATTTATACTAATCTTGGTGGGTTTTGTGGGTTATTCACACACAAATAAGAAACAAATAGTCTTATTGCAGGAAAATGAGATAGAACTACAAAACCACAAAAATTAGCCTTATTCACAAAATAATCCAATTTGGGTTTTTTTAATCAATGATGTCAAGGATTTTAATCTAGGAGTTATAACAGTGCCTCGTACTCCATGTAACAGCAAATAATAAACCTGGGGGAGGAATTATAACCTTAGTGAGACTGCGCAAGTTAAAAAAGCTGATGAATTCCCAATACCGACGATGTCCCCCATTGAAGGTACCTCCCTCCTCTGGACTTCTGCATTACTTCCACTGAAGTCACGCTGTCCTCCCGAGTGGCAGGCTACTTCACAGCATGTGCTGCTCACAAAGGTTTCTTTGCAAGAGATAACAACAAAAACCCTTAAATGTAAATAGTACATATTAATGCTACAAATAATGCCTTGACAGATTAATACAAAAAAGAAAGGAGGTTTATTCCTGCTCCTCCCTCTACCAAGACAGAGGTTTTATCTGCAGACCTCGGTCACAATGGCAGTCAGTAACGATTCTAAAAAAATAAAAATGGAGACAGATTGATTTCTTGCAGAATTGAGTAATTTCATCTGTTAGCACTCAAACGTCCTTGTTCCTACAGACATCACTACTCTGGCGTACAGTAGTAGCATACATACATAGCAAGACCTGATGTAACATGCAATAGTAAAAATTATCTGGATCTCCTGTTGCCCTTTTGGCTACTTCAGTTTACATTTGCCACACAAAGGGCAACGAGAGAGAATGCCCAGGCCACCCTCCTCCTCGTACCGCAGAACATGCAGACATACGACACCCGTGAGTCACGTGAAAGGAGCAGAAGTCATGTGTGCTATTTGCCAACACACCTGCCTCACACAGCCAGTGCCACCTCCATTCTAGAGAAGGGCAGATGCCCACCCAGGGTGTTCATCCAACTGCAGTTTCGCACACCCTTCTGGGGATCGAGCACACGTGGTCAGGATTAGAATGGATGCTTCGGATGTGGTGTATTCACACAAAAACAACTGTGCAAATAGGGCTGAGGTTTGGTTTGGGGTTTTAGCTCCTATTTCTATGTATTCTTCTTTCTTTCTTAATCCATTTTTTGTTTTCTTCACACTTAATAAGGCAAGGGATTGAAAAAGACCAATCAAACCTCAGTTTTGTCCTAAAAACTTGATTCATCAAGTAGTCAGTCCCACTGCAACAGCTTTCATTTTAGCCTGATTTTCCAAGGAAACTACAGTGATGCAGCTGTAATGTCTGTACAGAAGCACACATATTTATACTATAAAATTCTTCTAAAACTTCAGAGTTCAACTCATTTCAATCAAAATGAGAAGTTAACAGCCCTGAAGAAACCAAGTTTCAACAACTTTCATAAAAACAGGTAGCAGAGAAAAATGCTATTGATACTTCAATGATTTATACAGATCACAATCAATATCAGGCACTGGGGAATCCACCTGGGAGAGCACTCCTGGGAGAGAACTCCATGTGTGCAGTTGTTTAGAAACAAGAAAGTCCACAGGAAATGAGGCTTTACTAACTGTGCTGTTTGAACAAATATTTATAATACAATATCCACAAGAAAGCTAGCTCCTTATTTGTTAAGCCATCATTTTCTTTGTGGATTTCTTTTTCCTTGCAATTGAAATGTCTGATTCTGATAGCTATACACACTTCACTAACTTTTTCGATGCTGATACGCATTCTAACGGTTCTCAGGAGTTTTGACTTCGTTTCCCTGTGTTTTGTTCTTCCGTGGCTGCTTCAGTTCCCTCGGAGGGCGGGACAGGCACCACAGTATGCATTTCAATGACTTTTGTGCCCCAGGGGCTCACAGGCTTGCCCATCTCTTTTTACAATAAATGCAAACAAACCATCAGTTAACAGACAGCTGCAACATTCTTCCAAAAGAACAACCTCTAAAAATATTGTTTACTTGTCTGAACACAAGATATCCTCCTACTCTTCAAAATAAGTGACTGATTGATGGGTAGGCAAAAGCATTTGCTTTGACAGAATCAGACTGACATCAGTTTTCATGTTCTCTGCTGTCTGAACAGTATCAAACTGATAAGATTTGTAATTCTTCTGAAGCACATCAAACCAAGCAAAAAAAATGCAGTCCTTTCCTACACCAGACTTGTTGATTTGTCCAATGCAAGTTATTGAGTAACAAATTCAACTATGATAAAAATCCATTGTATAAACTGCTGTTTATAACTCCTAAAATACTGAAATCATCTAGCTTCTTACAACAACTTCATTTGGCAAGAAGATGAGCACAGATCAGAAGAGAGCTGCAACTTACCCAACTCTCATTTGCTAACTTTTTTTATTTTTTCTTTTTTATATTGTCTGTTGCAGAATGCTAGTTCTGACCAAAGAGTCAACCAAGAAGGCATAAGGCAATAATATTCAAGAAAATACATCAATTTATATCCAAGTGCAACTGGCAAATGGTTTGTCCTATGCAGCTAGTTACAGTAGCTCTTATACTAGGGAGGAAAAAGTTGGAGAGTCTGCATCTAATCTTGCAAGAAAGATGACTACAACTGTGTGCCTCAATTGTTTTTTGCAGTCACATGCATTTTGAGATCACATGACCAGGCACACTATTTAACCCAATTCCCAAAATCAACAGAAAGAATATACAACTGACATATACACATGTTGGATAAAGCCCTGGCTAGACTTTCATGGTGAAGACTGTGATACAGGTTGCACTGAAATACCTTACTATTCTCTTTCCAGAAAAGTGGAACATTTTAAAGTAAAGATCTGGTTGAGGACATAAAATCCATCTGGCAAAGCCTCACAACATTCAGATTTGCAGATAGATGCTGATTATGTTTTCTTATGCTATACATGCATAGGCCTTTTCTTGGTTTTGATACTTGTCAGATCTAGCACATAGTATTACGAGAGCCTCTGTGTCTTTTCAAGACTTTGTATTTCCACTGACACACAATTTTTCAACATAGATATTTTAACTGAGTAGAGCTCAATTCTGAAAACTATAATTTAAAATACATGTTATTTTAATATTTTAAAGATACTTCTGTTTATTCTTCTTTATAAAAGTAAAAATTCATCTCCACATACACTGAAAATGATAGAAAATTACATTTCCTTTCTCTCAGAAAGCCATGTCAAAATAATACAGAACAGATTTATAAAACCTGTTTAACACAGTCTGTTTTCCACTATGTCTGAAGTACTGTATGTGCCACACATGAAAGACATTAAGAAGACCTTTTGTTACCATCTCATTAAATAAGCCTCGGTGCATAAAATAACATGCAACGTATGTACTTGAGACACTCCATATTAGGAAAATTACCAACTCCTTAAAAACTTAAGATTTGATATCTCAAACAGCAAAACCTAAAAATCTTAGTAATTTGCTTTAGTTGCTTTTCTAGGATACATAAAGAAAGAGGTATGACCTCACGGTCTGAGTATGAAACTGGAAATCAAAGTACCTTACATAATCATTCGCCAAAGCACACTATGGGAACTAACCAAATTGTACCAGTCTTCTCCCAGTACAACGGAGAGAATTTAATTTACACTGAATTGATCAAATCTATTCAGTTAACACAAAATACATGAGGCATTTGGCTGCTGGGAGAGAGTTTTAGAAAGCAGTAAAGCACATGTTTAGCTACATGCTAAAACTAAAATGGTATTGCTAGTTACTGGGAAATTAATTACTTCTGGACAACGTATCTAGTCTTGCTAGAGAATGGTATCAGGTAAAATAGAAATCAAATTACATTTGTAATTATAAGAAATAAATATCCAATTCTCCCTAGGCAAACAGAACTTGCACAATTTAATTTGTAAAAATTATGTACGTAATTTGTAACATTATAGTGAAGCAAAACACTGACTAGTGATAAAAAACAAAATTATAAGCTAGTCACTGACCAATTTAAAAAAAATGCTAAAGGTAGGGAAATTTTAATAGGGAATTGTAACTTACCACCTTCTAAAATGACATAAGACTTGACAGAAGTCTTAAGAGACAAAAGACTGAAGTCTGTATATATATTGCTCTGATAGTTTAATTGAATCAGGATATCTAAAGATGCACAGACAATAAAACCAGACAAAGTGCAGAAAGGAATCTGTAAACTATCAAAAGAAAATATTACAATTGGCTTTACCTTAGCTTTTTAATCCATTTAAATTCTCCACTTGGGGGGTTTTTACAATCTAGAATATAAACTAACATCCAGAAACACACTTCTAAGTTTTTTCAGGCCCCAAGTGACATGAACTTTTTCTTTAAATCAACAGTCTAGTATTTACAGTCAAATAAATGGAGAAGGAAAAGTTAGCAGATGAATAGCTAAGGGATATTAAGTATACACTGTCCTCACATATTCAAATCTGTTTGAGCTATGCTTTTTTATAGAAATATCTTCATATAAGCTTTCAAAGCAAAATTACTAATCATGCTTTCTAGCAGGTCATTGGAAAAAGACACTACCATGAGAGATAAAAACCAAAACAATGAAAAACGGGGATTGCAAAACAGAGTCTAACTAGAAGACTATTATTTGAACATGATTTCTTCCCAATCTCCCATGCTTGCCATGCAATTTCACAACTAACTCCACATTCCTTGGAAAAAGTTATCAATACATAAATTTCAGAAAATTATAAATTCTTAATGTATTAATTCCCCTCTCCTTCTTGCAAGAGGATGGCTACTTCTGGCATTTTTTGCAGAAAAGCTTTAACGTTGTTTGCCAAATCAGTCCTTTTATCTTCCACCAGCACCTGCAGTCAACTAATGCTTTGGTCAAAGAGTCCAGGGTTTTCTTTTAATTTTATTTTAAGAGAGGGGGCACAAACTCAGAGAAAAGAGTTGTAAGTCCTGCGGTTTCAAATTCCTTTTGTAGCTCATCCAGCGTTGAACATTCTTTGACTTCAAATGTCTGAAACCTACATTGTAAAAGGGAAACTCATGAATATGCCTAGATTTGTCAGAATGTAATTATCAATTCTGTTACTTTTCTATCCACAACAGTACTAAATTATACCTTTTATGCTGTGACTGTACTTTTGTCTCACACAGTACACTGATCATTTTCTCTTTGCACTTCTTTCCGCTTGAGTCCACATCTACCTTAGAAGTTTTCTGAAGAATCAAGTACTCCTAAATGACAAAAAAGAACAAAATATTAAATGGCACCTAGTATCTTTGAAGTTTAGTAAAATACAAAAATCTATATGAAACAGCTTTTTTTCAGAACATAGCAATCAAACTTGGAAAGTGCACATCCCAAAAAGTGCATGACTGTTTCTATTCATCAGCTTGAAGTAAAGCACAGTCTTAAATAATCTAGAGAATAAGAGTTTCAAAAGCCAAAACACTCTCCTCCACTACCACCACAAAACCCTGCCTAACGGGAGTTCGTAATACTGACAAGAAGCTCGAAGCTCAGGCTTGCGCTAGGAGCGCCATGTGGTCTAAGTCAAGGAAAGAGACAGTTGGTAATGAGCTAGAAATATGTCTGTTATTAATTTCTCACCACAAATTTTCTGTTTTCTGGGGCATTTGGGAAATACAGGAGACCAAACCTAGGCATATTACAGTCATGAAACACAGGGAATACAGGGGTATAGTTACAGTGGGAAGCAAAGCAATACAGGTCACAGGTCTACAGATATCACTGCTTTCTTTCTCAGAGTAATTTCTTTTTCTTAAATACAGAATAAACTTGTTGGGCCTTCCTACTCTCCTAATGATCAATCTGCTTCCAAAATTGTTAATCTTAGAAAAACACACACAAAATATTCAGACACATAGGTTTCAGTGGTAAATCGATAGAACTAGTCAACATTCATTGTTCCTGCACCTTAATGTTGCTCCTGTCACCCTGAAGAAGAATCAATATTATCTTGCCCATGAACATCAGTCTTCCAGTCAGCCTTAGATCTGAAGCCCATTTTTCCACAGTTTTGATGTATTTTGCCTTTGCTCTCATGTGATCTAAATGCAAGAGGAGCGTCCAGGTACTATCCTCCGTACTTGTTCCTTTTGACAAAGTAGTTTTTTCACTGCAAACTGTTGCTGATTGCTTAACGACATATTTAAGATGCTGTTGTATCCAAAGAATCAGATCGTGTATCATGGGCTCACGAAGATGCTTCTTTGCTTGTTCAAGTAATTTATCTTTCACGTCCATACACTGGGCCCTTGTGAGCTGGTCTGAGTTAACAGAAATATCTGGTAGAGTTGATGGGTAATTGACCGGTAAATGAAATAACAGCTTTAAAAGCACATCTGTATCCAGCAGTTCTTTCACGCTGATTTGAATTCTAAATGTGATTCCATGTGTCTCTGGAAAGTATAAAAAAATAAACATTAATAGCTTGCTTAAAGTTGAAATACATATATATTACTAAGTCATGTTATTTTCTTGAACAATCCAACTCAAATGACTGTCCTTCTGTGTAAAATAAGGAGTGTGTGGTTTTTTGTGGGGTGGCAGGTTGCAACCAATGGCTCAAGCTATACTTTCTGGGAATCCTGAAATGAAACACTTCCATATCATACTAGAAGGAAAGTTATTAACACATTCTAAAAAGCATTCACACCTCTTGGCTCTTTCAAAGTCCAGACAAGCCAGTAACAAAGAATCATCTCTCTTAGAAACACATAAGTCAGCTGCTACAGCTCAACAGCAGCAGCAAGGACAACCAAAAATAGAGACTTTTCTGGACGGATTCGGTCCTAACTTTGCTCCTAAGGAAATCTGTAGGACATCAATACCAGCCCAAGAGAAATAGACTTATGCTGAGCATTTTTAAGAGAACCACTGAAAAGCAGTTCCACAAGAAAGAGAGACTTGGAAAGAAAATAGTCAGATTCTTTGTCCCCTACAACTTTCAGAGAAACTATGCTTAATTCTCTTCCGCCAACATTCTCAACACTTACAATAATTCGACTGACATCATGAAACATCTCTATTGTACATCTGACCCTAGACACTACACACGTACATATATATGCATATACTTATATAAATACATATGTATATATCTGCTTATCTACTCAAAATCTGTTGTCCGTCTAGAATTCTTTTCAGGGTGAAAGGGATATGTACAGTATGTAGCAGGAAGGGCAGAAGACCACATTGTCTTTCTAAATCACATAATTAAAAATGCTGAATATGAAAGTTACATGTGGTAATTTCTGCAATAAAACCTTCTTTACTAAATCATGTTTCACAGAAAAACAATGCAAAACTTCCTAAAGTGAAAAGCAGGGGAAATGACCTAACCTACTTTTGCTCTTCTGCAATGAAGAAAGAGGGTATCAGATAAAAGATGATCTTCTTCAGATGTTCTCTGCTTCACCCCTTTGATGTATTCTAAACACTTCACCCCATTTCTTTAAAAAATTGCTAAAATGTCAGGTTGATTCATTCTATGAGGGCAGGATAAGCCAGATTTGAAAGGCAGATGAGAGCAGAGCTGAGTTTCAGAGGAGCTCTTTTGAAGTGACTTGCCTTCTCCCTCTACCCTATCCTACCTTCCCTTACATGACAGTCGGTTGAATTATGTTTGATTGCTGATGCTGCTAACCAATCTCAGTGCTCTCTATGATTTTATGTTTGAATCCTACTAAATAAGTGAAAGAACCTAAAAGTGGCTTAGATAGACAGAAGTACTTTAGAGAGCTTAGCCAAGGGCTTGTTTCCAAACCTCCTCCCTGGGTCATGTAAAGAATTCTCTAGGTCAGAGCAGTCACAAAGTGAAGTAAGCAAACCCTCCAAAACCAATAATCAAACTCCAGCATTACTATAGAGATGTCTCCAAATATCTACAAACCATTGCTGCCTAAACAGAGTCAAATCCAGTGCTGAAAGTAATGGATGGCAAATCCAGTGAATTAAATGAAACTACACGCAACCCATGCCTGCACCTACAGGTACTACAAGTCAAAGCCTTGTCCCCTGAAAATGGGAGTTGGTCTCCAGTCTTCTAAGACCCTATGAAAGGTTCCAGACTATTTTTAAGGCAAGGTTATTCCTCAGAAATGCACTAGTCTCCACAACATCCATCTGGCAGTGCACATCCCTTGCTCACGGGCAGTAGCTATGCAGGAGGACCTCAAGCCTTCCCATTCCAATCGCTCTTCTGTTGCCCTGACAAACGTTTCTCACTGAGCACCAGCGACGATAGCTCCTCTGCCATTACACCAGGCTTGGCACTCGACACACACAGGAATAAAAGTCTGCACGGCACCTCCTGGGATCCTGAGCACCCTCTTGGCCACCATGGAGGGTCTCCACACGCAGCTGAGCATCACAATGCACTTGGACAGTGCCTGCCAACCCACTCGCTTCCGCCTTCCCCTTACACAGGGCAGCCACACCAGGCATGTGGCCAGCTGAAAGCAAACTGCATTTGGCTGAACACTATTAATATTATTATATTCCTGCCCACAAAATCATTTTATTTTAAACTATGTTGCCAATAAATTTTAAAACGCACAGCCTACAGCCGAGTTGAGGAATACTACTCTATTGCCAGTTTAATTACAGTGACAGAAAAACATGTTACCTTTCTGATAATCCTCCTAAGATTTTTTCACTAGCTTGTCATAACAGATCTCACCAACTCAGAAGTAACTGAGGGATAAACAGACAGGCCAACTTGCCCCTTCGGCAAGGGCCCTCCTGCTGCACTGATCATATTCTTAAGCCTGCAACAATCTCACACCTTTCCCTGTGATGATGAACTAATCCGAAGGAAGCAGCGCAGCCTCGCATCCCAAGGTGTATCACCCTGAGCCATCGCGAAAAGCCCAGCCATGCTCATTTACATCTGCTTCAGACTTACTTTAAAAAGACTTGGTTCAAAATGCTCGTGGGGCTACAGCATCTAAAGTTTATTTAAACATTCCAGCGTCCATTTTCTGCACCAGCGCTGCAGACAGCTGGCAGAACAAAGAGCAAACCACCGTCACCCTGCACAATGAGGCTCTAAAGAAATGTCTCCTTTGTTTGCACATGCTCACGTGCTACGAGGTCTGAGTTGTCTTCGTAGCAAAATGCTGATTATTTCTGAAATAAAAGATTGGGTATGACCGTTCTGCTCAAGCTTAATGTGCTAATAAGACTAAACTCAATACATTTTAACTCATTTTCCCCCATAGCTGCATGCTTATCAGTATATTTAGCTCTAGCATAATTCAGATTTTTTCTTATGTTCCATGTCAACCAGACAGATATCCCCCTCCTCTCCTGCCCAAAGGCATTTTATGCAACACATGCAGTCTATTTTTAAATTCAGAAAATGGCACCTACTAACGTACAAGCTCAGAATATATAAATATATTTTTATCATAAGCTTGGTGAGCGAACCAGAAGAGAACAGATTAACAAATTATGGATTTCTATCTGTAACGCTAATCTTTATAAATAGATATGTAAGGTAAAAAAGATACGCTGTAATTAGTTTATTTAAATTCATCAACACATTGGTTTTGATAAAAACATATTTTACATTCTGAATACTGCATTGTTAAATTCCAGAAAGCCAAAGTTTTTAGCATACCAAGAGACCTGCAAAAGCATTTTCTTATATTCCTCAAATCTGTAAATCCCCAGTGGCCTCCTTTCTGATCCCATGGATCTGCACGCAAATTACTGTTAATGTTTTAGAGAGAGCATAACATTAACAATCCTACTAGAAGTTACTTCTGTGCATCATTTATCAATGACAATTTATATGGTTTGAGGAGATAAAGCAAATGTAAGCTAACGAATACAGAAAAAGTTAATTGTAGACAAACTAAAGGATTCTGTAGCTCCAGTGTAAAAGTAAATTCCCAAACCAAGAAAACTCCCAATTATCATTGTTGTAAACGATCTTTTCAATCCCAGCAGAAAATGATGGAAATCAACCACATATACATGATCCTAACATACCATAAACACAGCCTGGCTAAAGGCCCTGCAAGGTCACATAACATCAATACAAATACAACAGGCTGTTCCCTTGTGCACTCATGTCACTCCACTTTGTGTTCCAGGAAGGTTTCTGAGCCCCATACATCCTGGTAACATTTGGTAAGCACCAAATCATTTTTCTGTATATGAAGCACAGAGAAGGATGTGCATATATTTCTCTAACAGATTTGGAGGAACAGACGTGCAACGTTCAGATACATTCATACTTTTAAAAATAAATATCTGTTAAGCCTGAATACTGTATTTTCAAACTATGCCTGAAATAGCATTCCTGAACTTTTTGACTTTAAGAAAATAAAACTCAGTTGAAACATTTAATCAATCTTATTTCAAAAATACAACTCAATACCAATCAAAAAAATAAAATGGCAGAATTACCTGCCTACACTGGAGCAGGAGGTGTGTCGTGCAGATCTAGACATGAAACAATCTTGCTTTTACAGTACCCCAGTTAACTGTGCTCTATGTAGGCACTATCTTCATCCCTCTGAGGCTGTCTACACACAATGTCCCCTTTTCAAATAACCACTTGCTGTTCTGTGCAAACCTATTTCAACAACTACATTCAAATAAAAGTTTGAGGTTTATTAAATTAATTTCTTAGTAACTTTCTAGTTAAAGTGAGCCACTCAAGAGCAGCCACAGGTAATTTTGCACCAAAGCACCACAAAGTTATTTGCACAGAATCACAGAACAGCTGAGGTTGGCAGGGACCTCTGGAGGTCACTATGTCCAACCTCCCCACTCAAGCAGGGCCACCTACAGCAGGCTGTCCAGAGAAACGTCCAGATGGCTTTTGATTACCTCCAAGGATGGAGACTCCACAACCTCTCTGGGCAACCTGTTCCAGTGCTCAGTCACCCTTACAGTAAAAAAGGATTTCCTTATCAATCCTAGTTCTTTTGGGCTGAATACACACACAGACAAAATCTGACAGTAGGCCACTGGATCCATTTTCAACAGCATTCTCCAGGACTTTCCTGCAGCCCACCCAGCAGGAAGCTGCCTGCTGTCCGTTGCTCTACTGAGGAGCTGGGCAGCACGCTGCAACAGCTCCCAGGACACCAGGGAACAGTCAGTGACACAGAGAACATGCATATTCTCTGTGTGTGTATGTATATATCTCTCTTTCTCCAACAAATATATAGGAAAGTTGTCACATCTGTGGTAAGCGCTAAGCAAAATTTACTTATGCTCTGGATCTGAACAGACATGCAACACTTGCACATCCCAACTGACATCTTCTTTAAGCCTGATGGTAGCTGCTGTTGTAGACTGGAACTCCTGAGATTTGTTCTCCCCTGCGGAAGGGGCATCTTCGCAGCACTGTATGGCACAGACTGATAAAACTCATCTCTTGAAATTACGTTCAGGTCAGCAGCCACTACGGCTGGTGCAGAAAATGTCAAGTAAAGGTGTCTACACTTACTGCTTTCCTAGTCTACAGCATCCAGCAGCTGATGGGAGCAAGCACTACAAATCTTCTCACCTTCCTACCTGCAGCAAACACGGAAGATTAGCCTTAGTACCTTGTAAAACCTACAACCACACACATATTGCTGAAGCCAGAGAACATATGGTGCATCATAAGGCCCTTATTATTACCCTGTCCCCAGAAAAAGGCAGAGATGACCCAGGGCTTCTTGTGCACAGCAACAGCTGCATCCCTATTAAACACTGGAGGGTGAACACCCGGCCTGGTTACACCTGTGAGCTGCAACTGCTCATGTACCTCAGCAGCAGCCAGCCCACTCCCACTGCTGCCCTTCACCCATTAC